GTGCTTTTAACAAGTGATGTACACATTTCTAAAAATTAGTAGATATTTATGAAATCTTACATTGCTATTCTTAAATGATTTTTCTCAATTAGAATTTTTATTCTAAATGTTTATATTTGCATAGTGATTTGCAATGTTTATATTTGCATAGTGACTTATTAAAAAATGAGCCATGAAAACTCACTCATCCAGGCTATTAAAGTTTCAGGGTCAAATGGCTTCTACCCACAGCCTCCAAAATACTTGCGAAGTGTGATCCCACTCATCAGAATTACCCTCAGTGCCTATTAAAAATGTCCATTCCTGTGCTCCAATCCTGATCTGCTGAATCAGTCTCTGGGGATGGAACAAGAAGCTTCACTTTAACAAGATTCCCTGGTAAATCTTTCATACTAAGAGTCTGAGAACCACTGCTCCACGATATCACCACAGCTCACAATACAGCATAAGTGATTTGATTACTTCAAACTCCACGCAAGCAAACGACCACACACATTCCTGTAGCATCATGGTTAGGTTTCCTATATATGTCTCTCACTTAACCTCACAGCGGCCAGGTGAGACAGATGCCCCCATGATCACCATGAGAGCTAACAAATATCCCCAACATGGTTGTGAGCAATCAAACTGAAGTCTATCTAACTTCAGAGCTCAAGACTCAGGAAACTCTTAAGTCATCTCCCAAAAATCTGCTTTATCCTCTTCTATTTTTGTGTTCACATTCGTTTACGAAATTTGTTATGTCCTTGGTAAGCTAAAGAACCTAATACAAGTTCCGTCTAAACCTAAGGTCCACTAGTAGACTTCAGAAGCAATTTACTAAATAGCCACTGAAACAAACAGAGCTCCATAATGAAATCCTAGGTTTTTATGGTATGTCAAGCCAAGCAGGATCAAAAAAGAGACAGAATCAAGTAACCATCAAACTGAAAAGTCAGAATAATGAGCATCGAGTGTTACAGTCCTAATGGTCTAAGTTTTATAAAGGCTGCTTGTAAGGCCTTTTCCCCCATGCCTCTTTGCCCTCTGTCTGCTGGAAGTCTTATAAAAACTAAACAAATAAGATTTCAAATAAAATAAAATAAAAGCAAAAATAAATAAAATAAAATAAAATAAAATAAAATAAAATAAAATAAAATAAAGTAAAAGCTTCCCTTTCTTTAAATCCCAAAAAAGTCTTTAGATTTGGCCTATCTTCAAGACATCACAAGTCAATACAGCAGTAAAGACAGGATGTATATTTGGTTCCTTTGAATTAACACTGTCTGACATTCCTTATAGAGTTTTGGTTTTGATTTTTGAGTTAAGGGAAGATTTTACATTCTTATGTAAGTATTCTTATAAGAATATACATAATTTTATTCGCATACTTCTATTTGACTGTCAGTTATAAGAAGTTTCCATATCATATATCCTTGCCTTCCTGCCTAAAGTTACTTCATTAATGCTCTCTTTGTAGACTCCTCTTGTATGAGTCTAAACAACTAAAATCCATGTGTCCTCCCCTACCATTCAGTGACTGCTTTTTTTTCTAACATGTCTACTCTCCTAAGTATCATTTTTACAAGGTGAGAAAGACATATTCCAAATAACATGAGAACTTTTAAAAATTGAGAAATAATTGCCTCATTTTATTTGATAGCATTATTCATAAATCTCAACCCAGCTTAAGTGTTCATATCTCCTCTACAGGTTTATGTCCTGAAATACATGAACATGTTATCTTCTCATCTAATAAGGAGAGGCTTTTGATTTCTGTGTTTATTTCTAACATTGACTGAAAGCAGAAATGTCACTTAATCTTTCTATCTCAGTTTACTTATCTGTAAAATATGTGCAGAATCTATGTTTAAAGACCTCTAACAGCCAAAACTTAGAATTCAAATGACATGTTGATTATTTTGACTCTTTGTATGCATTTTGGCACTGCTAAGCATTCTTTTACTTGCTATAGAAAAATAATAGGTTTTATCATAAAGCCATAAAATAGTCCTTGGCCCACTTTCAAGCTTGTATGTATATAAAATGTCTAGATAGGAGAAGGTTCTTTCTCTATTCACATCTATAAATTTTTAAAATATATCTCTTATGGGATCTAAATGTTAAGTCTTGAGGAATTTCAAAAATTAGGACCTATTAAAAAAGATTCACAGGGCAGCTGAAAATAAGCTTTAAAGGAGGGTACGGATAGTCTATTCTATTTGTAGAATTATTATAATGATGTCTAAAATGCCTAGGGGAAAATACAGAAAGATATGTACTAAAAACTGGGACAGGATGCCTTGAAGTGATGGAATTACAAATGATGTTCTCTTTCGTAATTTCATTTTTTTTTTTAATAATACGGCTGTACTAGAGTATAAACCAAAAAACAAAACAAAAAAAAATGTTTAACTGAAATAAGTCTAGTCCCAATCCAAATAAAGGTAAATCTGTGTTCCAAATGTAAATTTGATAAATTAGCAGAGTGACTTGTGGAACACAGAATATAATCCACAAGAGTAAATAATGTGTACTGTGTTACTGATGCTAGTACCACAATAAGACCATGGAAAGCATAGCATGTTATCAAAGAGCCCCATTTTGTAAATACACAATCACCACTCTAAATCCTACACTTGGATCCAGCATAAACCTATTCTTCCCCTTCCCTACATGAATAGCGAGATAAATCATCATCACCATTATCATGATTACAACAAAAATATACAAAGCAGTCAATACGTGTCAGGCACTCTTCCAAGCACTATACATACTAATCTCAGTCACCATAACAACCCCAACTTCATTTTACACATAAGGAAATGAGGAAGAGATATTTCATTTGCCCAAGGCCACCCCCCCAGGCCCAAGTAATCTCACACCAGAGCCCATGATCTTAGCCTCTACACGATGCTGTCTCTGAATGAACTAGATAAAATGAACACCATACACTGCAGAGGTACTAACTATAAACTATGGAGAAGTCCTGCCAGACTTGGCACTTAAGGCAATTTAAGTCAAATTAGACCTCAGAGACCAATGGTCACATTGGTTACCAAAGAGAATTTGGGGGAGCACAGTAAGTCCAGGAAACCATGCTGGCTGCAGTCTTACTACTCTCTCTCATTCTTTGTCTCTTCTCTTAACGTTTTTGAAGCTCATGCTTAAAAGCTGATGTTCCATCAGGGAAATGCAAACCAAAACCACAATGACATAGTACTTCACACCCACTAGAATGGCTATAGTCGGGCAGCCACTGTGGAAAAGTTTGGCAGTTCCTTAAAAATTTAAACAGAATTGCCATTTGACCAAGCAATTTCATTCCTAGATATATATAAACTGAAATTTAGGGGCGCCTGGGTGGCTGAGTCAGTTAAGCATCCGACTTCAGCTCGGGTCATGATCTTGTGGTCCGTTAGTTCGAGCCCCACATCGGGCTCTGTGCTGACAGCTCAGAGTCTGGAGCCTGCTTCGGGTTCTGTGTCTCCCTCTCGAGACCTCTGCCCCTCCCCGACTCATGCTCTGTTTCTGTCTCTTCAAAATAAGTCAACATTAAAATTTTTTTTTAGAAAACTGAAATTTAAAACTGCATTGAAACAGGAACGCCTGGGTAGCTGAGTTGGTTAAGCATCTGACTTCAGCTCAGGTCATGATCTGGCAGTTCCTAAGTGTGAGCCCCACACTGGGTGAGCTCAAGCTCCACTTTGGGTGAGCAAGAGCCCCACTTCGAGTGAGCATGAGCCCCACTTTGGGTGAACCCCACTTCTCTCTCCCTCTCTCTGCCCCTCGCTCACTTGTGCCCTCTTTGAAAACAAAAACAAAAATGTATACACAAATGTTCACAGCATTATCCATAATAGCCAAAAGGTGGAAATAAACCAAAAGTCCATCAATCAGTAGATCAGTTAACTAAATGCCGTATATCCATACAATGGAGTACTATAGAGCCATACAAAGGAATAAGTACTGATACATGGATATAATGTAGATGAACTTTAAAAACATGCTAAATGAAAGCTAGACACAAAAGGCTACATATTGCATAACTCCATTTAGATGAAAGGTCCAGAATAGACAGATCCAGAGACCAAAGCAGATTAGTGGTTGCGGGGGCTGTGAAGAGAGAAAAGGGGGAGTAACTGTTAATGGGCATGAGTTTTCTTTTAAGGGTGATGAAATGTCCTGGAATTAGACAGTGGTGGTGGTTGTACAACAATGTGAATGTACTAATTCATAGCATACAGAATTGTACAATTGAAAATAGTAAAAATGATGTTTACATTATTGTGCATTTTACCTCAATAAAAAAAAGTTTTTTAAAAAATCTTGACTCACCCTTGCATCCAATCTTCTCAAGAAGAGTCTTCCTAGGTGATTTCACCTACTCCTATTTACAGTCCTGGCAGACTCCCAGAAATGAGCCTATCCAATTGGGGGAGGGCACAAGCAGCGTCCCTCCCTTCTGCACTCTTAGAAATTAATGACCTGGTCTTCTTCCTGCCCTTGCTTGACTGCCAGGGGCTATGTGAATTAAATTAATTTAACAAATATTTATTAAGGGCCTAATTCATGCCAGGGACTGTTTTAATCCCTAGGGACGGTAGACTGCCCTCAGGAGACAATCGACAAATAAAACAGTAGCAACTGATAAGATGGGTTAGAAGAAAAGTAAAGTAAGAGAACAGAGTAGTAAGAGAGCCTTTAGGAAGTGACATTTGAATAAAGAGGTGAATGGAGGGAGAATTCCAGGCATATGAATGCCTGGAGGAAAAAAAATGTTCCAAGCAAATGAGATAGCACGTGCCAAGGCCCTGCAGAGGTAACATACAGCCATTTTTTAAAAACAGGAAGTGTTCTCGTACCTGGATAGCAATGAGTCAAGGGGTGAGTGGTAGGAAACTAGGTCTGAAAAGTAGCCAGGCAGGTAAGTCAGAATTCGATTCCACATGTGATTGAAGCCATCAGAGAGGGTTTTAAGCAGGGGAGTGACATGGTCTGACTTATTAAATTAAGTCTCTAGCTGCTGTTTGTCCAAAGAGAGGCGGCTGGCAGGCCACTGCATAGTCTGGGTAACTCCTCTCTGAAAACAGGAGGCTGAACCACCTAGGAGAATACAGTAGGATTGCAGGCACTGCTAAAAGTCCACTGAAGGACTGTGGTCCCTATTTCAAGATGGGACCAGTCAGCACAGTTGTTTTTCTGTAGCTTCCTGGGTACAAGTGCAGAGTCAGAGGAATTGAACTTAACCAGTTAGTTTTGATAAGCAGTGTTCAAGCTGGGAGGTACTAGAGAACACGAGAATTAAGTAACAAGCGACTGGTGAGAATGAGTGAGAAACTCCAGGGAAACACAGCCCCACGAAATCTGCAGGTTAGTAGTGGCTGCAACCCCCCTGGAGGCTCTGCTCATGTCTTCGGGAAGCACAGGTAACAGTGGGCCGTGCCCCCACCCCAATTCCTGCCATCCCACTGGATAGATGGCTTGTAGCAGAAGCAGCAAGGAGTGCCTCCCGTGAGTGGCTGACAAGCAGAGCGGTTTTGAAATTTTGAAAGTGCTTCCACTTTGTAACTGTACAGAAGGGTCCTTGGAGGAGCAACCTGGAGGGGAGGGGGCCCTCCTTCCACTGTATGCTGCCACTGTATTCCTCTGGGTACCGCAGCATACCATCTGAGACAGGTAAATAACTGGTACCACACACAGCAATGTGGAAGCTAACAGTAAGGTAGGAGTGATGGCACAGGAATGGGTGTGGGTTCCTCAGGGTAGCATTTCTCAAAGTGTGGGTCCCCCACAAAGACCATCAGAGAAACTTAACAGAAGTCCATGGGGGAAGGGAAGAAAAAAAAAAAAAAAGAGGTTAGAGAGGGAGAGAGCCAAAGCATAAGAGACTCTTAAAAACTGAGAACAAACTGAGGGTTGATGGGGGGTGGGAGGGAGGGGAGGGTGGGTGATGGGTATTGAGAAAGGCATCTTTTGGGGATGAGCACTGGGTGTTGTATGGAAACCAATTTGACAATAAATTTCATATTAAAAAAACAAAAAACAAACAAACAAACAAAAGACCATCAGAGTCCTCCTGGTGGGGTCTAGAACACTGTTAACATCCAGATTCAAGGCTGACTGAATCAGACTCTTTGGTGGAGTCTACATTATTACCAAATAGCCTCAGTGATTTCACGCATGCTAAAGATCCGTGGGTCGTCTCCCCTTCCCATTTGTGAATATGAAGGCTTTGATTCCTGGATACTAACTTGGCCACTCATCTCCTTTACTGAATTCTCTTGATGCTTCTAGTAGGTGCTTAGTTGATTCTCTTGCAATTTTACAAATAAACAATTATATTTTTTCTGCCAAGAAAAGTAATTTTTCCTATTTCTTTCCAAATTTTATTCTGTTTTTCCCCTGCATTGAGCCACACCCCTTAAAGAATACTAAATAGCAGTTGATAATGGATGCTTTTGTCTTGCTTCTCACTTTACTGGAAATGTGGCTAATATGCCCTCATTAAGCATAAGGCTGGCTACTGGGTTTGGTTGGGATAGGAGGGGAGTGTGTGTATGTGTACATGTATGTGTGTGTGCATCAACAGAGTATATAGTTTATCATGTTGAAGAAGTATTCAATATTCATAACATTGTTTTCAAACTCAAGAATGAATTTTCAGATACCTTTTCAGCCTCTGTGTAGTTAGCAATTTTTACTTTTCATCTCTTAATAAAGTGAATTTTATTACCATATTTCTAATAGTGAAATAATTTTTCATTCCTGGAATAATCCCCACGTGGTTGCAGTGGTTATTCTTTCAATAAATTGCCAAATTCTATTTGCCAATATTTCAATTAGGATTTTTCCACTGCTATTTTATAAAGAATATTGGTCTGAAGTTCTAGCCTTTCTTGTTGTATTTTGTTTTGTCTTAGCTGGCACTGTTGAGCTAGACAGGCTAGTTTTGATTGCCCAAAATAATGTGTTTCCTATTTTTCAAAGGTTCAATAAAATTTCTCTGTGATACCATCTAGGCCAAGTGCTTTTCTTCAGGGTGGTAGAGGGAGGTAATGGTAATTGGCTATTTGACTACTTGTCCTTTCACTTCTATAGCAATGGATCTTTTTTGGCAGTTTATATTTTCCTACAAAATCACCCAGTTTATCCTCATTCTGAAATAGTCTTCCTTGAGTTGAACACAACAGCCCTTTATGAGAACTGTCATTTCCTAGGCGTCAGGCTTCCCTTACCGTCCAACTACATTCTGCATATTTGTGCTCTGCATTCACACTTGCTCACATTGATTAGATTACATATTGGTTCTTCCTAAGAACAAGATCTTGGATTCTGCATGTTTTCTTCTATTAGTCTTCTGTTTTTCTAATTAATCTACTGATGCATTCATGTTCCTCCTTCAGACTTACTTTGTTATTCCTTTTCTAACTTCTTGTGTTGCAGACATGATTAATTTTCATGGTATCTATTAATATAGATACAAGATTAATGAATTTGTCTTCTCATAGGCTTTATGTTGCTTGTACTGCAATGCTTCAAGACAGAAATATACTATACAGTGTTTCCTAAATATTTTTGGTAACGTGAATTATCATGTGTATTCTATGAAACACACCTTGGGATATGCTGTTTTAGGTATTATGCCTTAGTTAAGAGTCTGTGTATTCTACAGGTTACTTTAATCTACTAGAAGTTTTTTATCTTGCATGTAATAAAAATTACTTAACATTTTTAAATATAATTAAAAATGTTTATCAAGTATTTTTATAAACTTGGAGTAAATAAACACTGAGAGATGGTGTGGATAGAGGAAGATATCTTTAGATTTTTAGAGCAATTGGATTTAAGCTCCAAAAACTATCTATAAGCACTTTGGGAAAGAGGACTGAGTTTCTCTAAGATTCATCAGTGATATGAAAGATCTTGTCTGTATCAACTTTCTCAACCTTATTCAAGTGGCAAACCAGAAGGAAATTTATTGTGTTTTTCATGAAATATCCTAGTATATCTGTGTATTTTCAGTTAGATATATATGTGTGTGCGCATATGAAGTGCTCTGTGAACTACAAAAAACATTAGTAAAATGTTTTAAAGAAATTTCAAGTTTTTAATATGTCTTCACTAAATACTACGTGCTAGTAGTCTAGTGGCAGAGTCCTAAATTTAAGGAAATTATGGGTGTAGGGGATCAAATGATTTAAAAAACAACTTTGAGAAAATTACAGAAAATATGGCTTATTTTTTCTTTGACTTGTAAGAAGATTCTCATTATCTAATTCTATCAATAGATCATCTTTGGTTACGGGTTGTCTGAGAATGTTCTTTGAAAACTAGTGCAAAGAATCTGTCAAGTCTTTTCAACAACAAAATGGTTCCAGAAAATATTTTAAATCCTCTGTTTCCTCATTAACTTAAGCCCCAAAGAACATGCTTTTAAGAAGTTTAAATGAAAAAAAAAAAAACCCACAAATATATCAGATTATATTTTTAGGAGAAGTTTCACACTCTTTTTGAATAAATTGGTTTTTTGGTAATGTCTAGAATAAGAGATTCCAATGGATGATTGTGTAGAATCTTCCAAGAGCTTTAGAAATGGCTCGCTTTGTTACAATGTCCAGCCCAGACATCTATTCCAGTGCCTTTGCTGATCAGAATTCACTATCAACTTTGGATGCTTGCCCACTTCAAATACTCCCAAAAGTAAGGAGACATTACATCAGCGGTGCTGCAGAAAGATTAATGTGCTTTGTTTGGAGATGTAAATGGTAATTATACTTATTGCATACTTCTAGTACTTAGTCTTTTTTACCTGAATCTAAGTAAATCTAGTCGTACATTTGCATAAATAATGTGTAGTTAACAGATATTCATTGGAATATAAAAAACTTAACTTGGCATTTTCCCAGCTAATTGTTTTTACAGCTTGACTTCACTTATGCATTAGCTACATTCATAAAAAGGTTTACATAAAGCAAATATTTTCATACTAAATCCCATTTTCCCACTGTTGCCCAATATTAAATCTTGAGTTGTATTTCTGTAAGAAAATGTTGGCTCCGACACATCATAAAATTCATAATTAAACATCTAAGTGCCAAGGAATAGATACACTTAATTACTTATAAACTACATTTTATCCTCTCACCTGCAATTAAAATTAAACATATGGATTAAACAAATGGGTAATCATTTGTTTCATATTCGCACAATCATTTTTTTAAAATGCAGAATTTTGGGTGACTTCCATAGAAGCTGAGAGTGCAAACATAATTTATTAGCTAGAATTGCCACATGGAAATATGCTGTCAGATTCAAGTGATACAAGCAGTCTCAAATTATTGATAATCATCTTTTAAGGACTTTTTTTTTTAATTTTTTTTTTAATGTTTACGTATTTTTTTTGGGACAGAGAGAGACAGAGCATGAACGGGGGAGGGGCAGAGAGAGAGGGAGACAGAATCGGAAACAGGCTCCAGGCTCTGAGCCATCAGCCCAGAGCCTGACTCGGGGCTCAAACTCACAGACCGTGAGATCGTGACCTGAGCTGAAGTCGGACGCTTAACCGAGTGCGCCACCCAGGCGCCCCTCTTTTAAGGATTTTAAAAATACCTTCTGCTACTGGTAATACACTTGACATTTTATTATAATCCATACCAGACGATTAATTGGAATTATACAGATCATTTGGGGCCAATACCATTGTCTGACTCAATACTACTTTTCAAAGAAATGGGGAAAAGGACCTGATCAACTACCTGGATCCTTTTGCAGTATAAAAAGTAACTTTTGCCAAAATAAAAGAGTACCTGGGACTTTTAGAAAACTCTTCTACTTTTTTAACTACAATTACTTTGAGGTAATGCTAAGTAATTTAAAGTAATTTAAAGTAATTTATTTTTTTTCCTGCACAAATCCTCTGGGGAATACTATCTGGATTGCAATTATCTATGCTCTCCTTTTCCTGTATTGCTGCAGATAATCTAGGTATGCTTTTTATCAATAAGTCAGTCTGAACTATCTTATTCCAGGACGTACACTAAGCTAAGAACATCAAAACCTCTTTGTCTTTGCCTGTGGCAAAATACCTGTACCTGAGGCAAAATCATGGCAACAAGACAATACTGGTAAAAACATGACACTGACAGGCAGTCTGACTACCATGCATGGAAATAGGTTGAGTAATACTTAGTATGACAGGCTAACAGTTCTGACCTCTGATTATGATTCCTCTTAACAATATAAATTAGAGAATGCATTTTACTCACACTGCAAACTCTTTCCAGTGAGCAAAATAGCTCTTAAGAATATTCTTAAATAAGTCTGTCATGATATCCTATTATTCCCAAAGAGCAGATGTTCACATGAGTTAGCACAGCACAGCAAAAAAAGCATAAGCCTGGAAAACATATAATCATGGGTTGGAGGGACAGCTCAGTCCTTCACTGGCCGTGTAAACCTGGACAAGTTATACACTGTGTCAGATCATAGTAGGAAATCCTGATTGTTTGCCTTCCTTCTTCCTTGGCAACAAATCCATCATCCTTCTTAAACATCCCACAATGTTTCCATGATGCTTCAGCACCTCTCCTGCTTTTTATTATTCCCTGTAAAGAACCTAGGGGCTTTGTTACCAGCTCCTCAAACCTAGGGGCAATGCCACTAGCTCTACTACTGTCTGCTTGGGAGAGGTCCAGGAAAGGGCCACAGTAATGCTAGCCAATCCCTAGCCTTTCAATTGCCATGCTTGGTGGCATTTGTGGTCAGTGCTTATATCACCCCAGAGAGACCACTTCATGCTCCCTAGGAAAACTAACATTTGGCTCATCAATCATTCAAGAAGCCAACGCACTGCAAAAGATCAGGCAGTGTTCAGAAAATACCTTGATAAGTTCAGATATCAAGAAAACCAGTAAGGGGCCCCTGGGTGGCTCAGTCAGTTGAGTGTCGGACTCTTGATCTCAGCCCAGGTCATGATCTCCTGGTTTGTGAGTTCAAGCCACACATTAGGCTCTGCCTTGACAGTGGGGAGTTTGCTTTAGATTCTGTCTCTCCTCTCTGCCCTGTGCGCATGTGTGCACATGAGCTCTGCGCTCCCCCCACAAATAAATATTTTTAAAAAAGAAAACCAGTATAAACCAACTAAATAAACTTTTATATAAATTAAATGTAAAATAATGAGTAATGTTAACTTTAACTTTTTAAATTCTCTTTATGTCTTAAAGGACATTTATTTCAGTTTCAGGTTACGTTCTATCTCTGTAGACTATTTTATGACCTGTCAGTCAACCACAGTGCAGGTGTCTAGTAAGGTCATTTATCTTTGAAGAAGTGCATCTTGACCAGAGAATGTGAGAATGGCAACAAATAATAAGGAAATAAAGAAAACAAGTGGGTCAAGGTTCTGCTAACTGAGGCCAAGAAAAAGCCTGGGAAATTAATGAATAATAAGCTCCCAGGAAACTCGAACTGCGAAAGCAATAAGCCATGATGAGAATAATACCTGAGATAATCACACAGTCCAAACATCACGGCCTAAGATTCTAAACCTGACCCAAAGGTAAAAGAGAATAGTGAGACAGTTGAAGTTGCTTATTTTTATCTCAATGAGAGAGGAGAGATGAGAAAAAGAGAGAGAAAAGTGTGCAAGCAAACAAGGGTGAAAAATACTTGATGATATTAAGATTGTTTTATTACATTACATTAGACTACTGAAACTCAGCATAAAGAATTTACTTGGATTTAGGGAAGGTAAGAACACAAGATAGTTTTATTTTTGTTCTAAAATGAGATATGTAGACAACTAGTAAGTTCAGTACAGTAAAAAACCTCTTGCTGCCTTTATTGATTTGGAGAAAGCCTTCCATATATTCTTAAAGAAAGGATGTCAAGCAAAATCAAAAAGTCATTCAAACCTAGTGTGTATAAGGCTCCAGAAGTATTTGAGGAAGCAACATAGAGAATTCCGAAAATTTGAGACCCACATGGGAGTAAAGTAAGAATGCATCTTGAGCAAATTTTTATTATTCTTTTTGTTATTCTCCTTAAAAAGTCACTCAAGAGAACAAAAGAAAGCCTTGTAAATAAGACTCTACAACCTTATTTGCAGAGGATGACACTTCTTTGAGACAAGAAGACAAATCCGCAATGTAACCTGAGACTGCAAGACCCTGAGAATGCCGAAGCAGGAAGAGTGATCGAGACTGACAAGAGCATGACCATGGTGATCTCTCAGGAAGCAAAATCATTCCGTACATGCATAAGAAATTCTGTCCAGAAACTGAACACTTCAGTGCTGGTGAACTTACGATGAAGTCAACTAAATGAAGAGCTAAACTTATAATCTTAGTTGTCATTTGGCTCTTGTTTTATCAAAATGTAATTCTAATAAAATCAAAATAAGGGTATTCTTTTACTTCCTGAGTCTAAGAAAGGCAGGACCCGCTGCAAATGTCTGTGAATGTTGTATTAGACCATATACTTTCTTTAATAAAGCAAACAGTTTAGAGTAAATGACTCACATACTATTCTGGGAGCAGTGCTCTAGGAAGGCTGTGAAGGGACTGCTTTCTGCTCATGCACAGGGAAAAGGGAGTCTTATTCACTGTAGCCCTCGTGTCTTGTATGTGGCATGATACCTAGCACTTAAAAGGAGTCCAACTCATGGCTGTGAACTGAGAGTAATAACAGCTCACACTGAGCTTGCTATATTCCAGTACTGCACAAACAGCAACTCATCGAATTCTCACAGTAGCCCTAAGTGGTAAATACTGCTATTATTCCCATTTTTATAGCTGAGGAAACTGAAGAACAGAGAGGTTACACAACTTGGTGTAGGTGGAGCCAGACTGCAAATGAAGGTAGACTGACTACCGGTACACTGCCTTACGACGGCCCTCTCGATGCAAGAGTAAGATTAGGAGGGGGAAGACTGGACCAGCAAGGACCAGGCTCTTAGCTTGCAGGAGCAGGGGGAGTCCAAAATAAAAGGATGGGCAAGATGAAATTCTTTTTAACTCTGTCTCAGATATAGCAATGTCTGTGAAAAGATAAATTTGATGTTTAAGTCATCTTTATACGATTAAACAAATCCGTAACTATTAAAGTATAAATTTTCATATTTATTTTACATAAATGTCTAGAATTAATCCAGGTATGCATATTACTTTGGGGATATACTGCCGTAGATGTTAATCACATAGATGTGATTTCATGTTAAAAGGTTGGGGAAATGCTTCGTACACAAATAAACATGTTGTGTTAGTTTGTTAAAAAAAAAAAAAGTAAACAGATGCATGTGGGATCTGACTGGGGAAGGGCTAAGAGTGGATGCACCTAGTTACCGTTGGCTCCAGGTAATTTTCAACGTTTGGCATGACCAATGACCTTGAGGCAGCTGCACGATATACTGAGGACAGACTAAATCTACAGTGTTCATCCTTGGCTACACAGTAAAATCAGCTGACTTACACAAATCTGTGAGAAAAAGACTGTTAAATCAATAGAAAAATAAGCAAAAATTATAACTTCACAACTCACAGAAAAAATGACTCATATATACAAGAGAAGATGATCAACTTGATTCATAAAGAAATACAAATTAAAATGCCAAAAAGGTATCATTTTTCACCTAATTATGTTGCCAAAAAGCCCCAAAAGATTCAAAATAGTTCCATCTCTAGTCTGGATTATCATAATAACCTCCTAACTGTTCTCTTAGCACCAAAGTGAGCCTTTCAAAATTTAAGTCTGATCATGTCTCTGTTTTGCTCAAAACTGCAATGCTTCTACATCTCATCCAGAATAAAAGACAACATCCTTCCAACAGCCTAATACAGCTTTACACAGGTCTGGCTCCACACCGTATCAATGACTTCAATCACACCATTCAACACTTATTCCACTCCAACCACACTGGCCTCCTTCCTGCTCCTCAAACTCACCAGACATGTTTCCACTTAGGGACTTTGCAGTGGCTAATCTCTTGCCTCTCCCACAGCATTCTCAAAACTCACTTGCTCTCCTTAGAGTCTTGCTCAAATCTCACCTTTTCAATAAGATCTCCCTATTTAAAACCGTAATCTTCATCCTTTTTCTTCTACTCTACTTTCCATTTGTCCACAGTACTTCTTACTTTTCAATCTACTACAAAACATTTATTATATTTATTTTTAATGTATATTTATTTTGAGAGAGAGAGAGAGAAGTGTGAGTGAGGGAAGGGCAGAGAGAAAGGGAGACAGAGAATCCCAAGCAGGCTTCGTGCTGCCAGCACAGAGCCCAATGCAGGGCCCAATCTCATGAACCGTGAGATCATGACCTGAGCTGAAATCAAGAGTCAGATGTTTAACTGACCTAGCTACCCAGGCACACCTGTATTTATTTTTTATTATCCATCTCACCCAACTAGAATGTAAGTTTCATCAGAGTAAAAATGTCTATTTTATTTATTGATGTATCTGAAGTACCTATAGGAATGTCTCACACATGGCTAAATGTATGTGCAAAGACTCATGGAAAGAGCCCAAACTGATGAATGGATAAAGAAGATGTGGTGTATACACACACACACACACACACACACACACACACACACACACACGTGTGCGTGCGCGTGTGCTGGAATATTACTTGGCGATCAAAAAGAATGAAATCTTGCCATGTGCAACAAGGTGGATGGAACTAGAGTATATTTATGCAAAGTGAAATAAATCAATCAGAGATAAAACAAATACCATATGACTTCAGTCATATGGAGCATTTAAGACAAAACAGATGAACAGATGAACACTGGGGAACGGAAGGAAAAATAAGATAAAACAAGAGAGAGAGGCAAACCATAAAACTCTTAACTATAGAGAAACACTAAGGGTTGCTGGTGGGGGGGGGGCTAAATAGGTGATGGGCATTAATGAGGGCACTTGTTGGGATGAGCACTAGGTGTTATATGTAAGTGATAAATCACTAAATTCTGCTCCTGAAACCAATACTATACTATATGTTAACTAACTTGAATTTAAATAAAATCTTGGATAGATAGATAGATAGATAGATAGATAGATAGATAGATAGATTTGTGCAAAGATATATACTGCAACATTGTTACAGAAAAACATTAGAGACAACTAAATGTCCATGAATACAGAATTGGTTAAATAAATTATAGAATAAGTAGACAGGGAAATATTAAACAGTTCTTAAAGTAAGCAGCTATCCTGTTTTCAGGATGACTAAATTCTAATTAGACCAATCCTTTATGGGACACTATAAATTCTCAGCAAAATACAAAAAAACAATCATCCAAAGGCACTGAAGATACTGGCAGATACTGGTTGGGGGGGGGGGGGGCGGGGGGAAAAAAACGGGAAAAAGGAACAGCAAAAAATGGTTTTTTTTTTTTTTTTTTTTTTAACAGCTTAAACTTTAGGGAGGGTCCAGTCTGTTCCATATGGAGCAGCTAAAGTGCCAACAGAAAAGCCTTACTAGCCTGAAGGCCCAGAGATAAGGTTCAAAGCAACCAAGGTCAGCAGGAAATGAAGGAAAAAATCTTAGAAATAACAGATCTAGAAAGGAAGAGCCCCAAATTCTGTGTATAAAACTCTGCCCAAATCTCTACCTGATGTTTGAACTACACAGGCATAGGACAGACTCTAAACAACACAGGTAAGAGATAAAAATTTGAGCAGATATATATATATATATATATATATATATATACACACACACACACACACACACATATATATACACACACATATATATGTGCATATATATATATATTTACATATTTACATATACATACACACACACACACACACACACACACACACTTTGTTGGTAGGCTTCAGCCAAATTAACTGCCTGCTTAAAAAACTGTTCGCTATACTTCAGACAGACATCACAAAATCCAGTTTCTAGCCAATTTACAATGTCAAGAATGCAATCCAAAATTACTAAATATATGAAGAAGTAGGAAAAAAATGATCCATTCTCATGATAAAAGACAATCAACAGATGCAACCCTGAAATGACCCAGATGTTAGAATTAGCAAACAGCTACACTGTGCTCAAAAATATAAAAGAATATATGCTCTTAATGAATAAATGTACGGGAAATCTTATCAGAGAACAGAAACTACAAAATGAAAGGCTAAATGGAAATTCTAGCCATATATATGGCTAGAGACAACTAAATATATTCCAATTTTAAATTCACTAGCTAGGCATAATAACAGAAAGAGGATGACAAAGGAGTCAAGGTTAATCAATAGAAATTATACAAACCAAAGGACAGAGAGGGAAAAAGATTGAAAAAAATGAATGGAGCCTTAGGGACCTGTGAGATAATATTAAAAAGTCTAACAGATGGAGAGAAGTGGAAAAAAAGAAGGCAGAAAAATATTAAAAGATATAAAGGCTAAAAAAAATCTTTTGGTTAAAGACATGCTTACAAAGTCAGTAAGTTCAGTGAGCTACGTTACTATAAAGGAAACCACAAAGGCACATTATACTTGAACTGCTAAAAGCCAAAATGACATTGCATGAAGGGAACAAAAATTCCAATAATGGTTGACTTCCCTTTTTTTGGTGAGTTAAGGTATTTATTTATATTTACTTATTTATTAAATGGCTGACCTCTCATGAGAAAAAAAAAAAAAAAAAAAGAGGCCATAAGACCTAAGACATATTATGACACTGGAAAATCTTTAAAGTGCTGTAAGTAAAAAAACCTGAAAACTTAGAATTCTATATTCATTGAAAATATCCTTCAAAAATGAAGGCAAAATAAAGATATTTTCACTTAATGAAAATTAAAAGAATCCATTGCCAGCAGACTTATACTACCAGAAATTCTAAAGGATGTTTGGCTGAAGGGAAGTAAAGCTAGATGGAAACCTACCTCTTCAGATAGGAACAGATGTATGAGGTATGGTAAATTTGTGAATATTTATGAAAGACTATTTTTTCCTTTATTTTCTTTAAGACATATAGACTAAGCCAAAATTATGACATTATGAGGTTCATAATGTATGTAAACAAATGACAACTACAGTATAACAGATGTGCTGAGGCATTAAATAGACCTATATTGTTATAGGTTCCTGAATTTTCATACTGAAGTTAGAAAAGATGATGTAGCTCTTTATATACTAATATGGAATGACCTATGGGGTACCTGGGTGGCTCAGTCGGTTAAGTGTCTGACTCTTGGTTTCAGCCCAGGTCATGTTCTCATGGTTCGTGGGTTCCAGCCCCACATCTGGCTTTGTGCTGACAGTGGAGACTGCTTTGGATTCTGTCTCCCTCTCTCTACTCCTTCCCCACCTGCACTCTCTCTCTCTCAAAATTAAACATTAAAAAAATTTTTTTTAATACAGAATGATCTTTTAAGGCATATTTCAAATTTAAAAAAGAGATTGAGGGTGCCTGGGTAGCTCAGTCAGTTAAGTATCCAACTCTTGATTTCAGCTCAGGTCATGATCTCACAATTCGTGGGTTCAAGCTCCACAATGGGCTCCATGCTGGCAGTGGGGAGCCTGCTTCGGATTCCCTCTCTCCCTCTCCCCCCACCCCCACCCTCTCTCTCTCTGTGCCCCTCCCCTGCTTGCTCTCACTCTCTCTCTAAAATAAATAAAAACTTAAAAAAAAGAGATTGAGGAGATTATTACAGAATGATACGTAAAGTACATACAGCTAGAGAATATCCTAAAAGGATACACATGAAACTAGCAAGGGCAGAATAGGTACTGGAATGCAGGGGTGGCATAACATTCAAGTTTTTAAAATTGTGTACTATATGGAATATAAATATAGAGAGAGAATAGAATATATATAGAATATATATAGAATATAAGTTGTGTTTCCATCTCTCTCTGCCCCTCCCACACACACACACACACACACACACACACACACACACACACACTGTGTCTCTCTCTCTCTCTTTCTCTCAAAAATAAACATTAAAAAATAATAATAAATAAAAAGAAAAGAAAAAGATTCTCCTCTTTTTTCAAGTAACAGCTATTCTATCCCAAGGGAGAATAGTATTGCAGGTACTGATATTTTAATCACTTTTTGATTAATTAAGCCAACTATATACAGTAAAAATACTACTTGAGTCCTTTGAAATACTATTTTTAAAAAAGATTTAGTCCATCAGAGTAGCTTCAAATATAATTGCAATTTTTTGAATTTAAATCTAAGTTAACATATAGTGTAATAATGGTTTCAGGAGTAGAATTTAGTGATTCATCACTTACATATAACACCCAGTGCTCATCCCA